AAATTGAAGATAGAAAGAATGATGATGAAACAAATAACAAGAAAGTGCTTGCATTCAATATTACTTCCGATAAAGAAGATTCGGATGATGATGAAGAAATGAGCATGTTTACACGCAAATTTTGAAAATTCATAAAACAAGGTAAGTACAAATTAAAAAGTTTAAATTCAAATAACTTACTTTGTTTCAAGTGTAATAAACCAGGGCATATGAAGAAAGATTGTCCATTGTTGAAGAGCAAGTAAAAATCAAATTATTTCAACAACTTCAACAATATTCAAAACAACAAGAAAATGAAAGCCATGGCGGTTACTTGGGATGATAGTGATGATTCATCTTCGGATGAAGAAATTAAAGAAAAGGAAAGTGCTCATATGTGCTTTATGACACAAGATGAAGTAAGTGACAATGAAGAACTTTTAGATGCTTTTAATGAAATATATAAAACTTTTTTGAGATTAAAGGCTTCACATAATTTTCTTAAAGGTGAAAATAAAAGATTACTTGAAGAAATTTTAGATTTTAATTCATCTACAAATTCAAACTCTCAAGTAATTAAATTGAAAGAAGAAAACTATTCCTTGCTTAAAGAAAATTAATGTTGATCTAATGAGAACGTTTATCTAAAATCAGAATGTAATAATTTAAATATTCACATTAATAGTTTAGATAAAAATATTTCTTCTATTAAATTAAAATATGATGATATATGTTTAAATGTTAGTAAATTCAATAAAGGTAAAGAAATCTTAATAAAATAATTTCTTTTCAAAAAGAATCTCAAAAGACAAAAGGTTTAGGTTTTCAAGTTAATAGAAATATATCTAAGAAAACCATTTTTGTAAAACCTTCTTGTAATATAAATGATGATATATGTAAAAAAGAAATCAAAATTTTTTTCTATTTGGGTGCCTAAAGAATTAACTTCATTACATAAAATTTTTTATATTTCTGATTATACTAAAAATGTTTGTTTATCAACTAACTATTTAGGCAAATCAAACTCTTCATGGGTTTGGTTTCCTAAAGGCTAATTTCATGGACCCAACATAGCATGGGTACCAAATTTGTAAATGTTTATCATTTCAGGTACCTAAGAAAGATAAGTGGATTTTGGATAGCGATTGCTCTAAACATATGACTGGAAACATACAATTGTTATTATCTTTTCAAAATAAGGATGGTGGTACTGTCACTTTTGGAGATAACAACAAAGGAAAGGTCATAGGTATTGGAACTGTCGGTAATCCAAAAAAACCTATTATTGATAATGTTTTATTAGTTGATGATCTTAAACATAATTTGCTAAGTATTAGTCAACTTTGTAATAAATGTTTTAAAATTATTTTTGAAAAAGAATCTTGATTAATTTATGATATTGATTTAATTGCTATTATATTTAAAGGACATAGAAAAAATAATATATATGTGTTATCTATGAATAACATTTCTAATGAGCATTGCCTTCTTGTATCTTCTAATGATTCTATTTTATGGCAAAAACATTTTGGACATGTTAACTTTAAACATATTTCTAAGATTTCTAAGAATGATTCTGTAAACGGTTTACCTAAAATTTCTTTTAAAGACAATTTTTGTGATGCATGTCAACAAGAAAAAAATGCATAAATCTTCTTTCAAATCTAAAAATATAATTTCTATAAGTAGACCATTAGAATTAATTCATATCGATCTTTTTGGTCCTTCTAGAGTAGCATCTTTAAATGGAAATAGATATGCATTTGTTCTTGTTGATGATTTTTCAAGATTTACATGGGTAATATTTCTAAAACATAAAAATAATACTTTTAATGAGTTTTCTATTTTTTGCAAAAGAATTCAAAATTAAAAATCTCTTTCTATTATTTCTATACGTAGTGACCATGGAGGTGAATTTGAAAATAAATTATTTACAAATTTTTGTGATAAACATGGTATTTTTCATACTTTTTTTTCCTGGAGCAGCTCCACAAATTGGAGTTATAGAATGGAAAAATAGAACTTTACAAGAATGTGCTAGAACCATGTTATGTGATAGTAATTTACCAAAATATTTTTGGGCAGAAGCTGTATCTACAGCATGTTATATTTTAAACAGAATTTTATTAAGACCTATTTTAAAGAAAACATCTTATGAATTATTTTATGGTAAAATTTCTAAATTTTTTTATTTTAATGTTTTTGGTTGTAAATGTTTTATTTTGAATACAAAAGATAATTTGAACAAATTTGATTCAAAATCTGATGAAGGAATATTTGTTGGATGTTCAAATTATAGTAAAGCATATAGAATATATAACAAAAGAACCTTAGTCATTGAAGAATCTATGCATGTTTCTTTTAATGAAAATTTTACAAAAACACACATTTTTTTAAATATTGATGATGATATAGTTGATAATATAAATGATACTCCAATGATAGATGCTTCAAAAGATGATAATTTACAAAATGATCTACCAAAGAATTTTGTAGAAGTTAAAAATCATCCACATGATTTAATTATTGGTAATATTTCTGATAAAGTAACTACTAGATCTTATTTTAATTTGATTACTCATACTGCTTTTATTTTAATTATTGAACCTAAAAATATAAAAGAAGCCTTACTTGATGAATTTTGGATAATTGCTATGTAAGATGAACTTAACCAATTTACTAGAAATAATGTTTGGGATCTTATAACTAGACCTTAAAATAAATCCATTATTGGAACAAAATAGATATTTAGAAACAAATTAGATGAATTTGGTCAAGTTGTTAGAAACAAAGCTAGATTAGTTGCACAATGCAAGTTGTTAGAAACAAAGCTAGATTAGTTGCACAATGTTATAATCAAGAAGAAGGTATTGATTATGATGAAACCTATGCACCAGTTGCTCAGAAGAAGGTATTGATTATGATGAAACCTATGCACCAGTTGCTCGTTTAGAATCAATTAGAATTTTACTTACATTTGCATATTTTATGATTTTTAATTATTTTAAATGGATGTTAAAAGTGCATTTCTAAATGGTTTTATAAAAGAGAAGTTTTTGTAGAACAACCTCCCGATTTTGAACATGAAAGTTTTCCAATTCATGTTTTTAAACTTAAGAAAGCCTTATATGGTCTTAAATAAGCACCTCGTGCTTGGTATGATAGATTAAAGAATTTTCTTTTAACTTCAGATTTTGAAATTGGAAAGGTTGATTCAACATTATTTATTAAGAAAATAAATAAAGATATACTATTAATTCAAATATATGTAGATGGTATTATTTTTTGTTCTAGTAACAATAATCTTTGTCAAGAGTTTGCTAAGACTATGCAGGATGAATTTGAAATGAGTCATGTGGGTGAACTCAATTTCTTTCTTGGACTTCAAATCAAACAATTAAAAGAAGGAATATTCATCAATCAAAGAAAGTATGCTAAAGATTTACTCAAACGCTTTGGAATAGAAAATACAACAAGCAAACCTACACCAATAAGTACTACTACATCACTTGACAAAGATGAAAATGGTAAGAATGTTGATCAAAGATCTATCGAGGTATGATTGCACTAGTGGAAATAGGGCTTTTGCTAACGGCAACATCACTGACGGGAAATTCCCGTCAGCGTTGTTTATATCGCTGACGGGAATTGCCGTCAGTGATGTTGCCGTCACCATTTCTTGGTTGCCGTCAGCGATGTAAACATCGCTGACGGGTTATGAACATCGCTGACGGGATACCCGTCAGCGATGTTGTTCCAAAATTCCACGGCGCGAAGTTCCCCCCCCCCCCTCGCTAAAAAATTCCCCCCACTTGCTAAAAATTTCCCCCCTTCCCAACCCTCCCCCCCACCAACATCTCGCCTCTCCTCCCAAATTGCTACCCACACCCCCAAATCTCCGCCGTGATTCTCGCGAGACCCCAGCCCCCTTCCTCCGGGCGCGAGCCCCAAAAACCCAGCCCCCTTACTCCGGTCGATCCCGAGCCTCCCGCGAGCCTAGGGTCTCCCCCCAAATCGTCACGAGAGCCGCCTGCTCCCCCCAAATCGCTCCCTAAATCTAGCGGCGTCCACCCCCCGCGAGCCTACTCCGGCACGACACCGCTGCTGCCGAGCACCAAATCGAAAGCTCCCCTTCATCCAAGACTCTTCCTCCTCCCAAAATCTAAGGATCCCGATCTCTCTCTCAGGTAAGATCCAATCTCTTACTAAAGAATCCTTGTTAATGCTTTGCGTTTGATTAAAAAGTCTTAATTCTTTTTTTTTAAGATCCAGCAACTAATAACGTTACCATATTTATGCAAATTCTTTTTTTCCTCCCTTTTCTTGCTACTTTGAGCATATGATACTGAAATGCAAGTATATACTTTTAAATTTTTTTTAAAGAGTCGTATGCTTTAATTTTTTTTGATGGGGAAGTTTACGACTTGTGTGAACTGAGATCATGTCAAAATTTGACTTGAACGCTGCACTGAGCTCTTTTGATGGAATAGGACAAACAAATTCAATCTAGAATACCAAAAACTATTATTCATGGCAATTTTTTACTCATACATTAATTGCTGGTGGCTTGATGGCAGTTAGAGAAAGAAACATCAAAATAAGAGGTCAATTATTCCACAGTTGTCCTCTATAAAACAAAATAGGAACACATATCAAAATCAAAATATAGGAATACTTGGACAGAAAAAGTTTAAGTTCCTTTTTATTTAATTTATTTGTTCTCCGGTAGTAAAGTTCTTGCCACATAAAAGCAAAAGGAAATAAAAAAAAATTTGTATGTTTATTCAACTTGCAGATGTCTAAAAACATTAACAGGAGGTTATTCGAAGCTAACCCCAGTCAAGACCAATCCACTGAGGAAGAGCCACCGAGTTCAGGAGAGATGTCAGGTATAACTTAGTTTAACTTAAGTATTTTTTATTCATGATATATGCACAATGATAATTTATTTCTTTTATTTTTTTAGGTGAGGGTGAGGAAGAGCCGACTCCCGTACCATTATATGCAAATCCTCCAGTGATACTTCGAGCATATATTCCCGGGATTGAGCGCGGGCCTTTACCAGCATGTGCAGAGGGGTACAGACTCAAGCAGACAGAAAAGTACATGCTTGCAAAAAAACGATTGGATGAATGGGGCCCATAGATTGATGAGATTTTATCTGATGCAAAAAATGAAATCAGACAAAGATTTGGTGAGTTTGATCAAAAATTTTCATTCCGGGTCTATTATTCACATATAGGTTTTTAGCAGACAGAAAAATACAATTTGATCCTCGCATATTATTCACATATAGGTTTTTAGCTCAACTAGTGACAACAAGATATATGGTGACAATATACCACAAAACTAGACCAATGCCAGCACAAATAATTTCATACAGTCTAGGCAAACCATGTTATGGTAAAGGCATGAGTCTTAGGCCCCGTGCCTATGCACAAGTTTGTCAAATTATATGTGGCTCATGTCTAACATTTTTCTACAACTAGAAAGAAAGCCAAAGTAATTTATAAAAGTTAATATTGATACTGATATTACTCTTGTTTAGAGGAATTTGCAATTTCAGTTGATGGTAAAAGTCCAAATCTTATGCAATAGAAGAGAGTAGGTGAGTTCTTTTGGTTGAATTCATGTGTGATCTTCAGTTTGAGTATAAATTTCTGTGCTTATAATTTGTATGAAATTATATATTTAGTGCAGAAAAAGGCAACAACTGGCTGCTGCCTTTTGTTTTGTGAGTTGGTGCTTCTTTGAGTCAGCTAAGTTTGGACGTTTAAGCTAAGGATTAAACTTTAAAATCTTGTTGTTTTATAAGTGGCACGTGGGTTTGACCGTAAATATAATGTTACCAGTGAATAAAGTTTCAGCCTTAAAAGTAACTAAGAAGAAAAGATTTTTCATATATTGTCATTTTTAACTCTAGAAAACATTCAATATATTTTTCATATCTTTATGCAACTAGAAAACATTCAATATATGCTTGAAGTATCACTAGAAAATATTCAATCTAAGAGCTTAAGTGTTGATATATCTATTATTTTTTATTTGTTGTAGGAGAAAAACTTTACCAGAAAAAAGGACGCCAAGGAAGTGACTTCAAAAAAAAGTTACCACCGGATGGTTTTCGAGCAATTGTGAGATGGGGACATAATGGGATTCCAACCGGACAGTGGGCTAATAACTTCAGCTCATACCTTGGATGTTTGATACGGAGGAGTGATAATGTGAATCCCTATTACGAGGCTTGGGAGCAGCCATTTCATGTCCTGGAGAGTATATATCGAGATTGTTGGGTAAATTCTTATATTTAGCAAAATTATTTTTCAATTCTGTCAATTGTCCATGCTTAACTATATTTTATTTTTTAGAGATATTTCAACATCGAAGACAATCCCGTAGGGTGGGAATTTTTATTTGGATACCAGGGAAAGTTCAAGCATTCTCTTCGGGAGTGGAGACATGAGATAAAGAAGAAATGCTTTGATTGTTTCACTCACAACTGGGAGAGGATATACAAGCGAGATAAGAGGGTTGAGCCTGAGCACTTAGCTGCACTTATAATATTGTGGGGCCAAGAGGAGCACCAGGTAAATATGTATAGTAGTTAATTATCATCAAGTTATTTATCTGAAACTAGTGATATATTTCATTGTATATTATAGCTTGTACTAAAATTCTCTTTGTTCATGTTGAAGAAAAAATGCCAGAGAAATAAACTAAATCTATGGAAGAAAGATTATGATCATCATACAGGGACTACTTCATTTGCCCAGATTGAGGATCAATTTTGTAGGACAACGGTATAAAGTCTTTTAATCTTCTATATATATTCTCTCCGCTTCCTAGAATATTTGATAAATAAAAATAATAAATATATTGTTAAATCTCAGAACACTCCCTTTATCCCGTTACCAGAACTGCACAGGAGAACGATGGTCCAATTTAAGAAGGGGTACGATGACGATGAGAATAAGAAACAAAAGCTAGAATTGGCCAAGAAAATGCAGGTTAACTAATTATCTTAGCTCTTATTAGCCTATTCTTTTGTTGGGAATTTATTGTTTGCACTTTTTTTTTGGTCATCTTAATTATCACAGAAAGGTTTTCGATATCCAGTCTTTTCACAGAAAGGTTTTCGATTTTCTGTTCAGTTATGATTGAGCCTGACCTGGTTGACCTGATCTTGATTTCTAACTTATGATCTGGTTTGGTCAACCCCACCATGATAATGAAGACTAGGGCCCTTTCCCGTGAAATTCCAAATACAACCAAGTTTAAAAGATATATGTGCACGAATGTTTGTATACATGTATATATATGTGCATGCATTATATATTTAGGCATATGTGACACTTTCAAACACGTAATTTGTTCCCCATCATTTAAAGATATTTGCAGCCCATTTGATCTTTAGCACATCTAGGTTGGGAGTTTAACCAATTTGTCAAGAGTTTTGTTTTATATAATCATATCTAAAGTTTTGAGCGAATAGGCATTTGTCGTCTGCCCCCCAGGAAAGTTCTTAGGATCCGCCGTTGATGAGTGTGTGTCTGTGCGCATGTGTGTGTATGCATGGATATTACTTGGATGTGTGTTTATGCTTGTGTTTATCTATGTATGGTGTAGGTGTGGATGGTATGTGGGTGGGTGTTTGTGTGTGCATCTGTTAATTATGACAATGACAATGATCAGGGCCTTAGTTTGATACCCTGTCATAATGCTTATATACTGTCAACCATTTATTAGCACTTAGCCCTCCTCAGTTGTGGAACTATTTCATCTTTTATTTTACTTGTTCAGGGCCAATTCTTAAATTTATTTTTTCGTCTTCTAGGAAGCTCTGGAAAATACATATTCTGAGGTTGTTGCACAGAGCCAGAAGCCCCTGACTAGAGAGTAGAATTATAATGTGAGCCATTTAGTTTGTGGACTTCCCAAAAAAGGGAGGACCAGGTGGATGAGAGTTGGAGCTCAGAGGGTGTCTACACAATTCCAGCCTCCGCCGATTTCAACACCATCGACTATGCCATCGGGGCCCTCTTACATGCCGCAGGAGGATTGCACTCAGCAGGCGATGCAGCTTGTTTCCTCTGTGATGAATATTTTAGATGGTCAGATTTCCGAGGAGATGTGGGAGGATATTCAAGAGGAGCTTATGCGAGTGATCCAGCCTACTGCTACTTTTGCGATGGTTTCTAGGCAAATAATGAAATCTTGTAGAAGGCGGGTTCCTACTCGGGTGCAAAGCCAGATTATGAACTTCTTGGCCACTCAAAAGGCATTTACTGGTAGTGGAGAGAGTAGCAGACAGGTATACTTATTATATATGTAAAACATGATTACACACAATATTATGTGATTCTAAATTTAAATTATTTTGTTGTTAGAGTGGAGATGATGCTATTGGGAGCACGAGTCGTAGGGATGGAGCCGCCAGTGGCAACGCGGACGATGACATGGATAGGGCGGATGACCTATCTTAGTGAGTTATATCCTATACTCGTGTTTGTATATTGTAGACATCTTTATAGTTGAGATTATGATACGCGTGTATGGTTTGTTATGGAAATTTTTATGGATTTAGAACTATGATATACGTGTATGGTTTGTTGTGAAAATTTTTGTGGATTTAGAACTTATCGTGAAAATTGAATGTACATATTTCGAATGTTTGTGAAAATTGATTGGATGAGAGACAATGTCAAAAGTTGGATTGTATATATTTCGAGATGTTTTGGAATGTGCAAGAAATATCGTTTGGAGATTTGTATGTACAGGGCACTGATTATAAACAGCAGAAATTTTTTTTAGCTGTTAATGACTATCGCTGACGGGAAAATCGTCAGCGATAAGTATCGCTGACGGTCTTTCCGTCAGCGATGTTAAGCACATCACTGACGGGAAACCCGTCAGCGATAAGTATCGCTGACGGGCTTCCCGTCAGCGATGTTAAGAATATCGCTGACGGGAAAACCGTCAGCGATACTTATCTCTGACGGTTTTCCCGTCAGAGATATTCTTAACATCGCCGACGGGAAGCCCATCAGCGATGTTTCATTAACATTGATGGAGCTTACCGTCAATATTGTCGCCGTCAGTAATATACATTACTGACAACTTCCCGTCAGGGATGTTTCATCACTGACGGGACTTTTTCTGACGGCGTATCCTTGACGGGACGCCGTCAAGGATACGTTTCCCTGACGGGAAATTTGACATCCCTGACGGGAAAGCCCGTCAAGGATGCCCATTTTTCCACTAGTGTTGGATCACTTCTTTACATTACTACTGGTAGACTTGATATTATGTTGAGTATATATTTATGTGCTAGATTTCAATCTAATCCTAAAGAATCACACCTTAAAGCCGTGAAAAGAATTTTTAGATATCTTAAAGATACTACAAATTACGGGTTGTTTTATCCAAAGAATAACACATTTGATTTACTATCTTATAGTGATGCTGATTTTGCTGGATGCAAATCCGATAGAAAAAGTACAAGTAGAACATGTCATTTCTTAGGACATTCTATTGTATCTTGGTTTAGTAAAAAAAATAAAATTCAGTATCATTATCAACAACTGAAGCATAATATATTGCTGCAAGTCTTGTATGTGCTCAAGTTTTATGGATGAAACAAACATTATCCGATTATGGCATAAACTGTCCCATATCATCCATAATATGTGACAATTCAAGTGCAATCAATTTATCTAAAAATACTATTCAACATTTACGTACAAAACATATTGATATTAGACATCATTTCTTACGTGATCATGTGTTTAAAGGTGATATTTCATTAGAATTTATACCTACTGATAAACAAATAGCAAATATATTAACAAAACCCTTAAAAGAAGAAATTCATGTTAAATTAAGAAGGGAATTAGGTATATGTTCAATTGAAGATTTAAATTAAAGTTTTAAAAAAAATACATATGCATACATATCCTTAATAGTCGACTAATTTGACTTATAGTCGACTACATGCACAAACATTGCATTTAAGTTGTTCTGTAAATTACAGTGTAGTCGACTAATTTGACTTATAGTTGACTACTCTGAGTTAAAATCTGAAAATCAACTTTCTGTCAATTACAGTGTAGTCGACTACTTTCCTTAATAGTCGACTACTTAAACAGATTTTACATATTTATAGTTTTTCAAGCATTTTGGACTTTTACCTATCAAACCCAAAACCCAATACCTGTTTCACTTAAGTAAACTTCATCTCAACCTTTTATTTATAACTCTTTCAATCCAAGCCACATATTTAAGATCAAATCTTCACCTTTCATTTATTCTATTATTTAATCTTGACCATACAATTTAATTTTTTAAAGAAAAATCATAATAACCTAAAACTACCCACTATCTTCCTCTTAGAAACCGATCCATCTTCTTCCCCACTTCAGAACCTATTGAATCCACGTTAGGGCATCATAAAACTTTCATTTTTCTCAAAAAATTTCATCAAGTTCATTGTTTTCTTCAGTCGGACAGCTTCTGTAGTCGACTACAACCAGTCCTAGTCGACTAATCCTAGGGTTTTCATCTGTTTGGTAATTTTCTCAACCTGATCTTTCTTAGTTTTTGGGTACATTTCTTAATCCTAGGGTTTTCATCTGTTTGGTAATTTTCTCAACCTGATCTTTCTTAGTTTTTGGGTACATTTCTGATTTATCATGTCTGGAGCTAAGAAAGCTAAGCAAGTTCATTCTAATGTCAATGATGAAATCATCATATATTTAAAAAGTCCTGATTTACTTGAAAATTTTAACAAAATATCTACATTTGAAGTTCTTCCAGGACGATTTGTGAAATTTGATAATTTTATCCCATGGAATTTTGGATCATATTTTGAAAATATGGGGTTGCTTGAATTATTCTCTACTGAAAACAGAAAACCCACATATCCATTTCTAGTTCAATTATTCTATACAAATATAGAACGTGTAGGAACTATTAGTGAAACTGAAAAGCTTAGAACTCTTGTCAAAGGAATAGAAATTGAATTGACTTCTAAGTCAATTGGAAAAAATTTTAACATTCCTTTCCGATGAGTCTCTCTCAGGTCAATCAGAATGAATGATTCAGATTTACTATCCAATCATATTTTTCTTCCTGGTTATAGTAAACCATTGAATAATTCAAATAAACTTCGTCCAATTCCTCGTTTCATTGCTCGAATCTTAGCTTATAAATTGTTTCCAAAAACTGAGAGTTTCCATTTTATTTCACTAGATTTAGCAAAAGCATTATATGCTATAATGGGGAATATCTAAGTTAATTGGGCTGAAGTTTTTTGTGACAATTTTCTTACAATACCAAAAGGATTTCTTCCTTATGGTGCTTTTCTAACAAAAATCTTTGATAGATTTCATGTTGATCTTAAGTCTGAGAATTCTATTGTTCGTTCCATTGAGTTCTTTGACTCTAATGCCCTAACTAGGATGAAATTAACTAATTTTGAAATTCATGATCAAAATCCTCAAGATGAACCTAACCCTCCTCAAAAACAAATTCCACAAGATATTCCACAATCCTCAACTCAAGCAGGCCCTTCATCTAGTCAACAACCACCACAAATGCACTCAGAACCCTCTTGCTTTTCGGAT